ACTATGTATGTCTTAGATTATTATTCAATAGCTATCTGCTATACGAAATTTATGTGTATTTAAAAAATTTTTAAATAACATTTTTTAATAATATTATAATCAATTGTTATTATGCTTGGTTAATTAAAAATGATTTTCATAAAACATTTTATTACAGTATTGATTTGCTTCATATATATTAATAATTATCTATTGTGAAAATATTTTCTTTAAAAATAAACAGATTCAATTCATGAGAAGAAGAAAAATTTTCTTCATCAACACAATACTGAATCATTAAATATATTAATTTCGAAAAAATCAGAAAGTGATTTCGTCCCTCTCGTTCGAGGTGACCAAGTCAATTCCACGATAATTTGCGCCAGTCGAGACTTCAAAAATGGCCTTAGAACGCAAGAGAGTTGCGACGTATCCTTGCGTGGTAAGGGAAGTAAGAAAGGGATAGGGTTCAAAAGAGAAAGAGGTTAATGGATGAGAAAATGAGAGAGATAGAGAGTAAAGCGAGAGATCGTCCGATCCACGAGGAAGACGAAAGTATCAGTTACGTCCATGTGAAACTGGTTTGGAAGGATGTGACGCGCGTGCACGCATGGACGCACGTATGCATACTTGTGGACGATTGGTACACCTTGAAAATTCCTTTGATGCGAAGAATATCCACCAAAGATCTTATTATAGAGGGGGCTCATTTTCACAGAAATTTATCCTGATCGACTCGTGAAATTTAACAAGTATTTTCGATAATGTTGAAGATCAAAAGTCCTACATGAAAGTAACCAGAAATTCTTTAATTCTTGAAATATACATATTCTAGACAGATAATCAAAGTGCCGACGGCGAACAACGATTTTGTTAGATGTTAGTGCCAGACTCTTACTCAAATACATTGTTATCTTGTATTAAATGCGTGACATATTGTATATATCATTCGAAGAATTCGAATCGTAAAACGCACATGATACCGACCGCAACCAGGTCGCGAAAGATATACGTGCAAACAAGTTACCGACTTCAGTCTAGGACCGACCTAGAGACGAGGCGAATTAATGATGAAAATTAAAGAACGTCAAATTAAATGTTTACCGAAGGAAACACAGTGACAAGATAAATCGCGCACATTGTCCAATGATAATTCAAAAGAGAGTTCCCGTTGTTCTCCAACTGGTCGAAAAATTCGAAAACACAATACGACACCCGAATAACGGAGTGAGACATATCAGCATCTACCGGCGACCTTCCTATCAGATTATCCTGTCGTCTGAAAAGAGACTGAAATTCGTTGAAGCGTCGGTAATGGCATAAACTGTATACTTCATGTTCAGCGACTTCTCTCGCGCGATATATCCAGCTCATTCTGAAATACAGCTGTACGACCGCACGTATTCACTCACACACACAGAGAACCATCTAGTCTACTCTTATATACGTACGTGTATGCATGGTATATAGAGCGCACACGAGAATCTGTCGTACATGCAGCGCAATATACTTATGTGTATATATATATATCTATATATATTATATATATATATAGAGGCTATGTATGTATATATGTAGAGACATCTATATATACGTAGCACGTAGCCATAGTTCGGTACGCCTGTGTAAGGGTAGGGGTGTGGTGGTATGAGAAACGAAATGATGGGGATAGCGGAGGCAAGAGGGTGGATTTCGAGGGAGGGAAGGGTATAGAGGGTTGTGACGGATAAGGGAGAAGTAGGGGAGAGGTATAGAAAGGGTGGATGAGGTTGGGTGGACGGGCGGATTGGGGATGGCGCCCGTTCGATAGTGAACGCACGTGGCCGCGCTTCTCGCAGCCGCCGTCGTGGCGCCAA